AAGATATCCCTCCTGATTTTTATCTGACACATGTGTGTTTAGTGCCGGGCTCTATGGAGTCTCTGCCCTTTCTACCAGTCTCTGTGTGGCTTCTACTTTATATCCTGAGTTGTAGGACTTCTGCTAGATTTAAGGAGGTTGTGGATAATGGTTGTTCTGTGATTTCGTTGTAAGTGGCAGGATTTGAGTACCGCATTTACCTATGCTGCCATCTTGACCAAAACTTCAGAACATTGGATTTTCACATCAAAATCTTTTTCATCAATTCATATGGAAATTTTCTTATCTTTTTAGGGAATCACTACTTTTGGTATAATCTTAAAGTTGTTTTCTTACTATTGATTTTTGGATGCCAGGATAAATTCTATTGATTTTTATCATCTCAATGAATTTTTCTATCTGTTAAATTAATTTATTTTTTAATATATTTTATTGATTATGCCATAATAGTTGTTCTACTTCCTCCCTTCATTCCCCTCCACCCTGCACACCCCTTCCCCCACTATTCCCCCCCTTTAGTTTGTGACCACATGTCTCAAGTTCCTTAGATTCTATATTTCCCATACTATTCTTGCCCTCCCCCCATCTATTTTCTACCTGCCATCTATGCTACTTATTTTCTGTACCTTCTCCCCCCTTCTCCTCCTCACACTCCCCTATTGCTAACCCTCCATGTGATCTTTATTTCTACATTTCTGCTCCTGATCTAGCTGTCCTCTTAGTTTGCTTTTGTTTTAGGTGTGTTTCTTAGTAACTGTGAGTTTGCTGTCCTTTCACTGTTCATATTTTTTATCTTCTTTTTCTTAGGTAAGTCCCTTTAACATTTCATATCATAAGGGCTTGGTGATGATTAACTCCTTGAATTTGATCTTATCTGAGAAGCACTTTATCTGTCCTTCCATTCTAAATGAAAGCTTTGCTGGATAGACCAATCTTTGATGTAGGTCTTTGGATTTCATGACTTGGAATACTTCTTTCCAGCCCCTTCTTGCCTGTAAGGTGTCTTTTGAGAAATCTGCTGACAGTCTGATGGGAACTCCTTTGTAGGTGACTGTCCCCTTATCTCTTGCTGCTTCTAGGATTCTCTCCTTCATTTTAATCTTGGCTAATGTAATGATGATGTGCCTTGGTGTGTTCCTTCTTGGGTCCAACTTCTTTGGGACTCTCTGAGCTTCCTGGATTTCCTGGAAGTCTATTTCCTTTGCCAGATTGGGGAAATTCTCCTTTATTATTTGTTCAAATAAGTTTTCCACTGGTGGATGTTCCTCTTCCCCTTCTGGTACCCCTATTATTCGGATGTTGGAGTGTTTAAAGATGTCCTGAAAGTTCCTAAGCCTCTCCTCATTTTGTGAATTCTTGTTTCTTCATCCTTTTCTGTTTGGTCATTTTTTTCCTCTTTCTGGTCCAGTCCTTTGATCTGAGTCCCAGTTTTCTTTCCATCACTATTGGTTTCCTGTGCATTTCCCTTCATTTCAATTAGTTTAGCCTTCATATGTTCCTCTAATTTGTGACTAAAATCAACCAGTTCTGTGAGCATCCTGATCACCAGTGTTTTGAACTGTGCATCTGAACATTTGGCTATTTCTTTGTCACTTAGATTTATCAGCTCTGGGGCTCTGAGTTGTTCTTAAGCCATGTTTTGATCTGTTTGTGCCTGTTAAGTATGAGGAACAGAGCCTTAGATGTTCACCAGGGTGGGACAACCAAGATGCTGGGTTGTGATGCTGTATGTGGGGGCGGGGTCAGAAAGGGACAATAGCGGTCCCCTCTGCTGCTTCCCGCCACTGGAGCCTGCAAGGTCTGACTCACTGCTCACTCCTTAGCTAGTTATCTGCACATGAATGTGTGACCACGGTCAGCCCTCAGTGGGTCTGCCGCCTTGTGCTCTCAGTGGGTCTGCCAGCTACTCCACATCTGGGATCCGCCCACCGCTGCTGGCACACCTGGGTCATGCACCCAGGTTGGTCTGGTGGATCTTTCCTGCCCAACCCTGCTCTGCTGCTGGCTCTGCCCCTCTTACCAGTTTGGCTGAAGGGTTTGTTGTTGTCAGACTTCCGTATAGTTCAATTTTCTGTGGTTTGGCTGCATTTTTGTTGCTAAAACTTTGTTGTTTTTAAACTCGGTTCTGTGAGAAGGCACAGTGCTTCCACCTACACCTCCATCTTGCCGGAAGTCTCGGTAAATTAATTTAAAAATTACAATCAGATACATCAAAATCAGGAGCATGCATTTCTACTATTTTTATTGAAACTTTCCAAAAAGTCTTTTACATTTTAATTTAAATGGTTTATTTGACTTTTAACAACTTTTTGAGTAAATTTGGCATGTCTTTCATATTCAAGTTTCTCTTGTGAATCTTTAAGATTTTATTGTAAAGATCTTGAAATATCAGTTTGCTTGTGATACAGCCTTAAACAACCTGACAATCTCATTATACTTGAAGTAATTAAAGAAAAGTCCATGTTAACATGTATACTTAAACAATTCCACCTACATGATAAACTCGAAAAGAAAATGGGGAACTATTGAAAAATGCTGAATTAGCCACTTATAGAGTTACCTTTAATCTTCAATGATAAAATGTCTTTGAGTGATTGAAGATAAGCCGAGTATGGCACACACTTTGCATGCTTTTAAATGTGTAGGGTGCTTCCTGCCAGAACTGGCTATATAATCTGGGCTTATTATTCAAAAGGTAAAGTTTCAAGAAAGTGACAGCAGATGATTAAAGCAATGTAGGACTCTTCTAAGTGCTGGAAAGTGTGTAATCTCACTGGTCACAAGTCCATGAAGCTGGCAGCCCTTTACTCTTACCTTCCATAACAGTAGTGTTGTTATACACCTATCTGTCATTCAACATCACACAGAATAAACTCTGAGACACATAAATACACCCCAAGTCAACCTGCTGGGGCTGGCTTCCCCACCCCATCATTTCCAGGTTCTCTCTGGAAATCCTGATCTGCATCTAAGCTTAATGGGAGTATCCTGAAGTCTAATGCCATGATAGATAATGAAGTATATCTGTATGATCTGGTAGAGTTGTTTAAGCATCTTGAAGCCTAAAATATTTTCAGTGGCCCTAAGAATTTGAGTTAGTATAAAGTTTTATCACTTGGTATTAAACCTCAAAGATGACAGTGGACATTGACCTGCAGCACTGATGGTTTGCCTCACAAAACATCAATTACTAATTTTGTTCCCATCAAGTCTGATATCACAGAAGCCCAGTAGGGGAAACTACTTGTAGGAGTTCTGAGAAATCCTAGCTCTTCAAACTTTAATTCCCATACCTGAATACTCCTTTATGACTTCATGACTTAAGTTTGATTCATAGGTGAAAATGGTATAATTTGTTCTTTCCTGAAAATGCTCAATGGTGAAATCATATTCAGGGTGTATTTATCAAATCAGATAAATCTATAATACACATCTGATATCAGCATCAAAAAGAACACTCTGTTTACAGAGCTACACTGCTAATAAGCAATTGATTTGTTTTTCAATCTGGTGAAAATGAAACCTATTCCTGGAAGTGCTCCAATTACCCAGCTCAATCTTTTAAATGCCCTTGGCAAATGGCTTCCTCTATAATTCTCATTTGAATAAGATCCTGATTTTTCATCCAAACAAAATACTCAATAAAGAATCCTTCTTGTAATTCACAGGAAAAAAACAATAAAATCCTTGGCTACCACTTTTACAACATATAATTAACTATCTAATATGTTTCATCAAGTTGTTGTGCAGTGCTAACTACAATGACTTCATTGGTTCGTAAATTGCAGGTTTCTAGTTCTTTCTGCCATTCATCATTACCCTTTGTCACCCTATTTGTTCTAGTCAATTTAACTCATTGATTTTCATTGTAAAGGCTACAATACCGCCAGCAAATTGGGACTTTTACAAGTTAGGCTAATGCATGTTAACTGGTGTCACTGTCAGCTTTACACTTGAGAACACGTTACAACATTTTTATTCTGGGTGTCTGTTAAGGAAGGGGCTACATTAAGAAACTGAAATAAGGATGAGAAAAAAATGTTTGAGATCCATACTTTCTAAATAAGTTGGCACTCCAGAAATGTGCTATTTTATTTATAGGGCTTGAAGACATGAATTTAATATCAATTTTAAACCAGCGTTATACTAAAAACTTTTGAGAATCTGTAAAGAGCTATGTCTCTTTCTCAGAAACACTTCATCATTTAGTGGTGCCTATTGCTAAATATGATTTTTTAAATAAGTGTTTAAGTAGAGGTATATATATACAACCCATACTGTCAGTTAAATCACAAGCCATGCTGGATACATTATATTCTTGGACACTTGTCATTAGTGCCCACACAATGTAAAAAATCAACCCCAAGATGCTATGACATCATCTAAAACTCACCATAACTATAATGGAGTTCAAATATCTCATCCCTGTACCAGAACTCACAATAAATAAAATTTATAGACAAAAAAAAAGGAAGAGAGAGAAAAAAAGTACTACTGCTTCTCTTAAAATTAGTCCTTTTGTGAAAATCACTGACTTTTCTTAGCAATTTTTAATAACAACTTTCTCACTATTTTTTATTTAACATCAAACATTTCATTCTACATGCCTGATTTATGGAAAGAGTGTTTAAAATAAAATACCTTGAAACTAACAATGGCACCTTGCTCATGCTTTTTGGAAATTATAGTAGAGGATTATTATAAACAGTGACAAAAAATATTGATTTTCTGGATTATTTATATATAGAATTTTCTCTTAGATATAACCATGATAATGGTTGTTTTCCCAGAAATGCATATGCAAGTTTTTACATTAACAGAGAAATACCTTGAAGTTTTTTTCAAAACTTCAGGTTTTCAGAAATTTTAATAAATTCACAAAAGAAGGGGCCGTATATTGTCACATTGTAATTGCCACCACTTCCTTTGTGTTGACTAATTACTACTCTGCCACATAAATAGCGCATGAGAAGGACCACATGTTAATCAGTAAAATTCAGGAGGAATTTGTAAAATTAAAAATTAGCATGATACTATAAAATTACTTTATTTATCAGTGCATCTAATAAAAAATAACTACTGACACTAGGAGGAATCATCTATTAAATCTAAGCTCCTTAAGTCTCATTCATCTTTTTAAACTGATAAGAACAGATACCACACCTGATCTTAGCTAAAAGCCTGAGAAGCTGAAATTATTCGTCTTTTTATTCCCAGTATTTATCATGGTATTAGTCACATATTTCACACTCCAAAATTACAGCAAACAAATAGACTTAAAAAGAATGAAATGGACTTTGGAGAAATTATTTTTCCCTTATACAAGATGATAAGAATTATTGATATGGTGAAATTAATTTACTTAGTGAAAAAATTTTAAATGAAATTTATGAGTCTGACACAGTTGTAAGTACAAGGGACACCACAGTGAACAAATTATATGAAGACCCTTGTCATGAAGCTTCTTACATTCTAGTGGGAAGGAGACAAAAAGTAAATGCTTGCTCTTCTCAGCCTCAAAAGAATTAGTAGAATCTTGTTGAATGACTATGATTGCTTTTCTTTATTCAATGTTTATTCATCGGCTATGTATTTTCTGGCCAATTGTTTATTGTGTCTGCTTTGTCTGAGACACTGTACAATGTTGAAGACTTTCTCAGCTGCAAATACACAGACTCTATACTTAGAGATATCACAGGCTGTTGAGAAAGCATGAAACACAAAAATGATTACAATAAAGTATTTTATCTGCCATAATGAAGCTATACACAAAAAGAAGAAACCTTGGGAAATCAAGGAAGATTAAAAGAGGTAGCTTGTTTTAAAGGAAGGTTTATAGAGAAGTAGAAGAAAAGTGGAACTGAAGAGTGAGTGGGGGAACCTGAACACACAGAGAATGGTGCACACTAAAAGCTGGAGTCGTAAGTTAATGGGCTCTGTGAAAGCAAATGGGACATAAAAGAGAATCAGAAAAGGAAACCGCCAAACTTAGGATCAAATCCTGGATGCCTGCTTGTAAACTGGGCAAGTTACTACCACTCTAAAACTCAGTTTCTTCCCCCGCAAAACTGAAGTTATTATGCCCATTGACAGGCCTGTTGTGAAGATTAAATAAAATACAATATTTCTAATTTCAAGCATACTACCTAAAATATGGTAAGTACTCAGCATATGTTGATTCGTTCTTCTTTTCCTCATAAAACTAAAGAAATTATTGGTGCATTTTTATCATAATGGCATGACATCTTATTATCCCATAGCATTTTTGAGGATGGTCTTTTAAAAAGCAGTAGTTAGGAGAAGACAGTTTTAATAAAAGAAAATGGATGTCTGACCTCAAAGTGAAGATGGAGAGGAAGGGATGGAGACTGCAGATGATTGAGAGGTGAAATAGCTGGACATAGTGATTAACTAAATTCAGAAAATGAAAGAGTAATGTTGTCTAAAAAGACCTCCAAGTTAGCTGATGAAAAATGTGGATTGATGATAGAAAATGTAAGTAGTTGGTTTAGAAGGTTGACATTATGAAATCAATCATGAAAAAGCTGATTTTGAAGTGCCTGTGGGCCATATATGTGGGTTCAACACAAATGTAACCAACAGATATTTGTAGTACAAAAAAGATACTTATATTTTGCAGTCATTAGATTAAAATAAAAGTCTAGGCATAGATAGTATCATCTAGAGAAATAGATTCTGAATATTATTTCCAACTGCCACAAGTGAAAAGATACTCTTCTTATGCCAATTATATTGAATTCTATGATCCTAGTTGGATGCACTGTAAATTGGAAGCACTATTTAACAATATGGTTTGAATTCATTGGCTAAAGAGAAGCTCGCAGCTTCCTTCAGCACTTTTTTTCCTATGCCTGTCACCTCAAGGAGAAATGCTACTATGAAAGAACATTTTATTCTGCCCTGGCTGGTGTAGCTCAGTGGATTGAGTGTGGGCCTGAGTACCACAGGATCATGGTTCGATTCCCAGTCAGGGCACATGCCTGGGTTGCAGGCCATCTCCCAGTAACCATACATTGATATTTCTCTCCTTCTCTTCTGCCCTTCTGTCTAAAGACAAATAAATAAAATATTTTTTAAAAAGAACATTTTATGAGCCTGTGTTTTGAAGGTAGAGGTCAGCGAGCATGTGGCTGGCCCTCCTACCCTTCAGATCACTGACAGTGCTGGACAAAAAAACAGCTTCTGTTTTCTATGCCTTCTTTCTCTTTGTGGAGAAAGATGATGCCCTTTTCTTCAATGCAGCTGATTGAGCTGAAGGTAACACCTGGAGGAAGATGTACCAAATAAGAAAGATCTGGGCTGGTGGCCAAAGCTACTCCCTTACTCAATTCTGAGCTCCCTTCTGCTCTCCATCAATGAGTACACATTTGATTAGTGGTCCTTGGCACAAACTGTTTAAGAACAAAGGTTGCAGTTTGAGCTCAGACTGACATTAGGTAAAATACCTATTTTAACTGACTTTATTCTGTTACTATGACCTATATAGTCTAAGAAAGAGAATACTTTATAGATGCCACCACATTCTCTTTGGGTTGGATAATGCCAGGTAAGTAACAACATATTTTGAATTGATTTTTCCTCTGTGGAAACTATTTGAAAGAAGAATTCAGATAGTCCTGAGGCTATGGTCCAAGTCCATCCTATTATAACCCAAAGGCCTCCTTTCTCCAATTGAATTGTGGATTATCTGAACACAAAAGCCATCCAAATTATCCAATCAAAACTTCTCATGTATAAAGGACACATGGACAAAAACTAAGGGGAGTGGGAATGGGGGGGGGAGGTGGGGAACACAGTGAGGGGTGGGCTGGGATGGGAGTAAAGACAGAAAACTGTACTGGAACAATAATTACATTAAAAAAACTTCTTATGTAAAATTTCAGTGGCTACTGCTTTTAGTTTGTATATGAGGAAGATGTATATAGTGAGACCATGACATCATTCCCCACGTTCAAGATAGAATTACTTTAAATGAAAGTTCAATACAGCCTACTATAATCAGATTGCTACTTTGGATTATGTCAATTATAGCAGCTTCTTCATGTTCATGTCACAAATCATTATCCTCAGCAAACCGGTCCTTACCATACCAAAAGTCACATGTCTGTACTGTAGTTTTTAATACAAACCTTAGGTCTATAAGTTGGAATAAAAGTAAGTGTTTATAATTTGGAAGCACATTTTGGCCTTAAAATAGCAATCCCAAATAAATGAACATGGCACATACAATAAGGACTTCAGTTTCTATTATTCTTTCTAGAGTTAGAATAAACAGTCCAACTAGTGAGTAACCTACAGTTATAGGTCATATTATTATGTTCATATTCTATTATATTTAGACTATCAAATATTTATCATTACCATCTCTTCTCTTTTAAATACTGTTCCTATTCTATGGTCTGCCATCCCAAACTAATTTAACTAAAGAATTGGAGAATAATTCCAAGGCCCAAGTTTCATTCTAACCACTTAAAAAATGAAAAATATTCCCCAAATTTGTGTGCAGGTAAAGTATACAACCATATTAAAATTCCTCTGAGGTTTTCATGGTTATTTCCAAAATAATTAACCTCAGAAAAAATATTGACACTAATTCTAAATTTAAACTTTCATTCAATATTAGTCAAATGAGTAGAAATAATGGTTGTGGCTAATTGTAAATATTTACTGAGTGCCCCCATGTGCTAAGCAGTGTTCTAAGTGCCTTACATATGTTATCTCATGGTGATTATTTTTAACAACACCATAAGGTATGTTTAAAATTAGCTAAGTAAGTAGATCTTAAAAGTTCTTATCATAAGAAAATAATGTAACTGTGCATGATTAATTTTAACTAAAGTTACTGTTAATCATTTTGTAATATATACATGTATCAAATTATCATATCATACACCTAAAATTAATATGTCAAGCAAATATCAATTAAAAATAAAAAATAAAAATGTGCTATCTCACATATTAACAACCACTTGACACAGCTGACATTTTCCTCTGCATTTTGTAGGTGAGGAAGTTGAAGCGCACACAGTTTAACGTAAGGTACTGGCAGTGTGCAAATCTTGTCATTGCTGTGGAGTCTGACATCTGAAGCTACCTTCCAGTTGTTTTGTTATATGTATGTTAAAAATACCATAGAATTCATATAATTTCAAATCTTATCGTTTCCTTGGAAGGAAAATTCTAAACAAGTCATTTTCATTTGTTTACATAGTAATGAAAACCTTAAAGAGAAAACACAGAAATAATTTATCTTTTAGATCCTAAATTCAAGTAGCAGGGCATGAATTTCAATGACACAAATCAGAAATTTTCACACTTTTTGGTCTCAGATTCTTTTATATTCTTAAAAACAAATGAAAATCACAAAATATCCACAGGTTATATCCATAGCTATTTACATATCAGAAACTAAAACCGAGACAAGTTTCAAAACCTAGACTACACAAGAATATGTTCTATTAGCTGTACAGCAATAGTATCATCACTTCAGGCAGCCTTTGGAAACTGCTGTATATTCATGAATGAGAATGAAGAAGAAAAGTAACATTCGAGGATCACCATGAAAATAGTGCTGATTTTGTGGATCCCCTGAAAGGACAACACTTTGAGAACTGCTATAGAAAAGTCGTGGTCCTTATCCTGGCTATTCTCCTCAAAATATACTTTAAACATTGTTTAAAAAACAGAAATGATTTTAGAAGATTCTTACAAAGATAATAATGTTGAAGCTGATCTTCCAATTAATCTTTTGGTCATTTTTTAAGATACAAGTGATGACCATAGTGGTTAGGTCAGGATGAAATTTATTAGTTCACTGCCAAACCTCAGTGACTGCTCTGGCACTGGGAGCTACACTTGGTGACGATTCAAAAAAGGGTTTAAGCAGTTATATGGAAGTGAGGTGAGGTGACATAAAATAAATAACAACCTGTCTGAGCATGCTCTGTGAAGTCACCAGGACTATATTTGAGTCAGAATTGGAATCAGAGGCCCCAAAGTAGGGTGCTCTTATACTCAGTTCTACCCAATAAAGTCGGGGATGGCAAGATCCAGGGAATTAAGCTACTGTCAATCAAATAGTGTTGAGAAGTAAATATGGAAAAATAAATCTAAAACTTAAGCATAAGAATATGTCAACTATACCTCAATTTAAAAATCTTTAAATCTGGCCC